CCCCCCCCCGCGTGCTCCCCCCACCCCCCACTCCGCTTGTCCCCCTTTTCTCTTCCTCCCGATCTTCTTCCTCCTCCTCCCTGTATCCAGTACAGTGTGAGCTGGGTCTTGGGAGGATCCACTGGCAAACCTCGCCACTGGATTTATTATTCTTCATTAGTCACAATCAAAAGAAGCAGGGGCAACTGACAGAGGGGAAAGGAGGGCCAGAAATTACAGAGCGCATGTGCCGCGAATACCGGCCCCCCCAACACACACACACACGCACGCACGCACACACACACACACACACCCTCGGGGACTGGCACGAGCCCCACTTATCTTCATTTCCACAGCGGCTCAGCGAGGAGAGAGCCTATTTTTAGCCGACACTTTGCTCACACTTTTGTCCCAGTGCGGACCACTTTTCCTAGAAGTGGACACACACTTTTAGTTCCAGTTGCAAAAGAAGACAACATCTCCACACACACACACAAGCGCACACGTACACATGCACATGCACGAACACCTCGCCTCTCTCTCTTAGCTCCCATCTTCTCTCCACTTCCCGCGGTGTTGGGGCTGCTGCCACCTCCCCAGAGCGCGGCAGGAGCGGGGTGGAGCGGAGAGTGAGACGAACCCGCGGCCAGGACGCAGGAACTCGCGGGTGGCCCGACCCGGACGGGGGTGACCGGGAGCAGGTGCAGGCACTGGGCGCCTGGGGAAGGCGAGCAGGTGCGAGAGCAGGCGGTAGGCCTGAGAGGCGCTGGCGCTCGCTGGGACAAAAAAAGAGAGGGAAGGAGAGTGGAAAGGGGGGACCCTCGGGTGGTCAGCGCCCGGAAGCCCCGCGGCGGCGGCAAGTAGGGGGCCGCCTGTCCACCCCTGACCTCAGCTGGGCGGAATGGCGGGTTCTGGTTGGGAGCGCTCTCCTCGGGAGTCGCCAAAATACTAGGAAGGCGGCGGCAATGAGCGCGCGGCCGGCTCTGTCCATGGTCCTTAACTCTCTCCGGCTTTCTTTCGCTATTCTCCGGCTCGCCGTTCTCTTGCCTTGTGTGGAGGGAAATAATGCAGAGTAGCCGAAGGGGATTCCTGTGAGCAGTGCTCCCGAGTGTGAGCCCGGAGAAACCCGGACATGGGACTGGGAGAGGGGGTGGTGACATGAATGAATGTGACTTGTGCAGGACGGTTCAAGTAAGTGCTTAGGTGTTGAATTTCTACCTCGACAACAGCCAGGGTAATTTTAAAGGAAATTTTTAAAATGACATTGTTCAGCTCCCACTGTCTCAAGCTTCGAAAAATGAAATAAATCAAAGTTAAAAGCTTGAGTATCATTTAATTATGGTGCGAATAGCGCTTTGAAAGAAGTAGAACAACATCTCTAAACAAATTATGACTGGGCCAGGAAGGAATTATTAGATTGAAATTTCATTTCGGCTCGGGAGACACCGCGCTTCACTGTGTAATCTGCTATGCCTCATCTGATTTGTATGCTTAATTCAGCTTGACGAATTTATTAGTTTTCATAATAGTGAAAAAATTGAGCAGCACTATGGGCTAATGCATTGTGTGTACTATAAATTGTATGTCATCGTGGAAAGGCTGAAGTCTGTAGAAATCTTTTATTAATGTCGGTACAGAGGGGAGGATTTTTGTGCAAGCCTTGGAGAGGTTCATGCCAAAACTACTGCTGCTGTGTTTCACTGGTCCATTAACATATCGTCATACTAATTAGACTTCATCAGCGATATAATTTCAAACTTCAAATTATGTTTTAATTAACAAGGGTTGTCCAATTTGTTTAATCTCCAAAAGGCTTTGGATGGTCTAATTAGTATAAACTGTTGAGCATCTCTAAAGCCTGATAAAAATCCATAAAAAATATTTGGGGTGTGTTTTCTATCAAGACTGTGTAAAGGCTAAAGGGCCAAAGTGAGAGTGGAGGACAGAAATAACTGGAATACAAATGTCCTCATCTACCTAGTTCCACCAGGTTATTATAATAAGTGAATCACAGGAGAAACTTTGGGTTATTGCAACTCCTAAATAGTGTGTTTATGTGTTTAAATAAAGGCACAAGAATCTCAAGGAGAAAAACCACATGGGGAAAAAATTCTTCTCTTTCATTAGGTGCCTAATTAGATGTAAAGCAAAAAGCAACCCTGAGGAGTTTCCCAAGCATTATTGTGGCAACAGTCTGCTGAACTTGAATCGCAAAATCAAATATTTGGGGTGTTTTGAACCTCTCCCTGTCCCCTCCCCCTTCAATGAGCTTAATTACTTGCAATCGTTGTTTTAATGTATGTTGTCACCTGGGAGTATTGAGAAATGCATATCGTTAATACGAATTAATCTTGATTTTAATAGCAACTGACAACTGATCTCCAAAATGCTAAACACTTGTCACCATTTCATATGGTAAATAAGGTAGTATAATAAATTCATGAAAAAGAGAGAGCACTGTTGGAATGACTGGACAAACTTTGTTTGATATGGAAATTATTGACTAAGACTATTTTAAGCAAGAAAATTCCCATGAGAATATTTTTCTGATGACCAAAATCCATATACCATTAAGTTAATCTTACTATAACTTTATACATCTCTTAGATATTTCTCAGTGTTATCCCTAATTCCAGCATGTAAGAAAAGGAGCCCTTGTTATCTACCATGATAAAGGTAAGGTAAATTAATGTGTAGTTGTTGAGTAATTCATGACTTTATTCACCTGTATTTCCTTCCCCCTAGAAAACACATACATTTTTTTAAACGTCAAATCAAAGAGTCCTTTTCCCCCTCAAAGTGAAAAATGAACAGCAGTGATTGTTTTGCATTAGAGGAAAATGTGATTCTTCCTTCATCACCAAGACTTGCAATCTTGCAGTCTCTCCTTTCAGGAGTGTCCAGAATACCAACATGTTGCAGTGATAGCAATAAAAGCCATTTCGG